GAAATGAAAAACTGCAATAAGTGCATCTTTTTTGAAGCCAAAAAGAAACAGGATCTCTACATGTGGTAAGGAAATGTTATGTTTTGTTATATTTCTGTTTATAGCTGCAAATGTTTCAGTCCTAGCGGAAGTTTCCTACTGTAATAGTGAAGATGCATGAAATACTGCTGTTTAGTTAAATTTGTTCTAATATTGCACTTCTGTGGACAGTGCAAATTTACAATGCATGAACAGCTTTTGGAGACTCTTTCCAGAAGCATTTTACAAAAATATTTAGAAAAAAAGTGTTTATGAGCATAAAGAAGTTATGTTTATGTTAAAGGAAGTCAGTACAGCTATAAAACTGACAGAAACTACTTCATTGTGGGAATAACTGGTTGGGGTGTAGTTTGGAAATCCAGCATGTATTCTGGCTGCTGTTAACATTTTTCTTTCTCTCTTCCCCACCACTTGTCCTCTGAAGGCTTTCAAACACACCACAGGGACCATCTGCTAAATTCTTGGTGCAGAATGGTAAGCTGGTGGACATTATTGTGATTGTATTATTGCTGTTCTGTCCAAAACTTTTTCTGTAAGTAATAACTTTTTTTAAAATCACTTTAGTTCACACACTGGCTGAATTGAAGATGACAGGAAATTGCCTGAGGGGCTCAAGACCCCTTTTGTCTTTTGATCCAGTAAGTATAGGTTTTATTTCGTTTGGGTCTGTTCTTATTCTTTTTGCATGACTATTGCATTTAGCCTTGTATGTAAAATTATTTTTTTTTCTGTAGATATTTGACCGGGAGCCACACTATGCCCTGCTAAAAGAATTGTTTATTCAGGTCAGTCTATAGTTCGAGTGTTTCTTCAATGGAGATGTGTTTTGGCAACATACTTAAGAATTGCAAGTGTTTTTTTTTTTCAAGTAGCAGTTTTACACTTCTGAACTTCAAAAAGATCACAAAGGATTAGGATCATATTCTTAGCACAACTCAGACACTTATTTCTTAAGTTTTGGATTATGAAATGTAATCTTGGTTTGGGAACTTAGTAAATTAAAAGGAGTTTAAAGTGAACCATTTATGTTTGACCTCTTAAACTGCAGATGTTCAGAAACACTGCCTTTTATTACAGATATTTGGTACACCACAGTACCACCCCAAAAGCCAGCCTTTTGTTGATCATGTTTTTACCTTCACCGTCACTGATGAAAGGATCTGGTTTCGCAATTACCAGGTGAGTGGTCTCTCCTAGCTCTTCAAGAGGAGGTCAGTGGAGTAACTTCATATCAAATCCATTAAATAAAATAAGAATCATTATATGTCAGCCCCTAGTGCTTGCAGATTCAGTGTCCTGAAATGACAACCTTTTCCCACATCTCTGGTGAGATCTGGTTCACTGACCTTGCATTCATTAAGTTGTGATTCTGTGATGGATGTCTTGGTAGCAGGACATACTACCCAAGGCCTAAACTGTGCCTTAACCTAAACTGCTGCTTTGACCCAAAGTCATCTAGAGTTTACTTTCTGTAGAAGGAATTGACAACTACAGAGTACTCCAAAAGCTTGCTTGAATTTCAAAGAACTGCTTTATGTACAGAACTGCGTTTATACAAATCTACCTAATCAAGTACCTTATCTTGAATTTAAATTCAGTTGTGTATTACTGTATATATGCGAGGTCCCTGCAAGGTCATATGCTTTGATTCAGTCTGTGAGAAATTGAGAAAGTTTCCTTTTTATTGCAGATAATAGAAGAAGATGCATCTCTAGTAGAAATTGGGCCTCGTTTTGTCCTGAACCTCATAAAAATCTTCCAAGGTAGCTTTGGAGGACCAACTCTCTATGAAAATCCTCATTACCAGTCCCCAAATATGGTAAGCAGCTGTGTCTTTGTGTTCTCTATCATTTAGCAACTAATTTGAAAACCAGCCTGCAGTCAGTCTGTGCAAGAGCATCAAGTATGCCTTTCCCCATGACCTTTTGTAGTGCCCTAAACTGGTGACAGTTTGAGAGCAGAGTAGTTTTGTAATCATGAAGTGAATGCAGAAGTCATGCCACTGAAAAGATTACGTTACACTGAGGGTCTTGGCCATTAAGCAGAGAAATTAGCATTAAAGAAATTAGTTTCTTTAATACCAGATTTTTCCTGTTGTGCTTATTTGAAACATGATGAAATCTAAATTCTTATTTTTATAGCATCGCCGGCTGGTAAGATTGTCAGTGGCAGCTAAGTTTAGAGAGAAGCAGCAAGTGAAAGAAGTGCAAAAGATAAAGAAAAAAGGGACTAAGGTCCTTGTTAAAGAAGATCCTACTGAAGTAGTCTTTGAAACTCCAGCTGAAGAGAAGCCAGTGGAAATACAGCTTGTGAAACCAGAGTCAAAGCCAATTGTTAAAGATAAGAAGAAGCTACGCAAAATTCAGAGGAAAAAGCAAAAAAAGCTATTCAGAACTGAAGGATCTGCGTAGATGTTACAAGGAATGAAATTTCATAAATATCAACCGAATATTGTAAATATTTGAATTTACATTGTAGGGACAAACATATCTGAACTTCAATTTTAAGTGAACAAAACATACATTTCTTTATAAAGATTGAGTTTGCATTCTTTTATTGTCTTCTGGGATTCTGAGTTTTCAGAAATAACATGGCATCTCATTCAGCCTGGCCTTAAACATTTCCAGGGATTGGTCATCCAAAACTGCTCCGAACAACTTCCTGGGGCTGTTTCTTTATTACATACAGAATACAGTTGGCAGTTCCTGACCTCCTGACCTGGTTCTTCCACTCACTAGTTCTGCACTCCCCCAGACTTTCTTGTGTTTCAAAGTCTTGCCCATGCCCTGTTTCTGTTTGATACCTCTGTTTCAATTTCAAGCATCTTAATGCTGAAAAGACACAATAGGCTGGAGAGGAAGCTGACCTGTTAAATTCTAAGTTTCATTCCACCAGCAGGGTGAGGGAAATCCCATATAACTTCTGCAGCAAAGTGGTCTGTGTGCTGTATGATTGGAAAGAAAGACTGGTGGATATAGGCATGTGCTCAATTCACATAGTCTAATACATAAACACGGGTGAGTTGGAAAGGACCCCATCAGTATAATTGAGTCCAACTTAAGTCCTTGCAGAACTACATAACACCAAGCCATATGACTAGGTCATCATACAGACCCTCTTTAACTCTTGACAGGCTTGGTGCCATGACCACTTCCCTGGGAACTGACCATCCTCTGTGTAAAGGACATTGGTGTCCAACTGGAACTTTCCCAACACACTTGTTTAGCCCCAGCTGGCAGCTCAGCCCCAGAGAGCTGCCTGCTCACTCCCTTGGTTGGGTGGGGAAGAGAACTGGGAAGGGTAGAAGTGAAAAGTTGTGAGCTGAGGTGAAGACTGTTTAGCAAAAAACAAAAGCAAAAGCCATGCACAGAAGCAAAACAAATAAAGAAATTTATCTACTATGTCCTGTGGCTAGTCAGGTCTTCACCTGCCAGGAAAGCTGGGTTCCATCACATGTAACAGTGACGCAGGAAGACAAATGTGTCACTGAATGTTGCCCCCTTCTTCCTCCAGCTTTGTATGCTGAGCATGGTGCCATGTGTAGGACAGCCCTGCAGTCAGTTCTTGTGCACCTCTCTGGTGGGTGGGGTGAAAAGCAAAAACAGCTGGGAGTCTGAGCACTGCTCAGCAATAATGCAAGCTTTTCTATTACTATCAACACAACATTTGTGTTTTCAGCACAAATCCATAACACAGCTCCCTACCTGCTACTGTGATGAAAATTGACTCTATTCCAGCCAAAACCTCCTATGGCAAAGGTGTGTATTGGAAGGAGGTCCCCCCTCAGCTGAACAAGCCATGTGTCCTCAGCTGCTGTGACCTCTCTCCGTCTGCCCTCATCCTGATAAACTCCACTAGCTTTATATCCTTATGTTGAGGTGACCCAAAACTGCCTCCAACACTTGAGGTTTTCCCAGTGCAGAGCAGAGTGGGACAATCCCCTCCCTTGCTGTGCCTGATGCCCCCACAACAGGGCTGGCCCTCCTGGCTGCCAGGGCACTGCTGGCTCGTGTTCAACTTGCCATGTTTGGATTAAACATGGAGATTAGGACCTCCAGATTTTACTGTGAGATCAGGGCCTTCAGATCTTGCTGTCTGATCCAAAGCTCAGTTTGCGTAGTGCCCACTGATACACACATGACCTAGAGAAGGAAAACTACTCGGACCAACCCAAAATTCTCTGAAGAGTATAGGTATTAAAAAAGCTACCTTGAGAATGTGCGCTGTGCTGGCTGTGCCTCTGAGCTCCTCCACACCCACAGGAATCAGAAATATCAATTTCAGAAATAATGTGGCCAGCAGGCCTAGGGAAGCTATTCTTCCCCTGTGCTCAGCACTAGTGCAGTCACACCTTGAGCCCTGTGTTCAGTTCTGAGCTCCTCAGTTCGGGAAGGACTTTGAGGTGCTGGAGCAAATTCAGAAAATGGAAACCAAGCTGTGAAGCACAACAAAACCTGGAGCACAGGTCTGAAGAGAAGCAGGGATACTTACCCTGGAAATGAGGAGCCTCAGTGGAGACTTCACTTCCCTCTTCAGCTCCCTGAAAGGAAAGGGTGGCCAGGTTGGTGTCAGACTTTTCTCTGAGGCAACTGGCAGTAGGACAAGAGGACACAGCCTTAAGCCGTGCCAGGGACGTTAACGCTGGACATTAGGAGTAATTTCTTCACAGAAAGGGTGACATGGGCTGCCCAGGGAGGGTGGAGTCACCGGTCCTGGAGGTGTTCAAGAAAACCCTGTGGTTGACGCGGTGGTGTCGGGTCACAGGCAGGACTCGATGATCTCGGAGATCTTTTCCACGCTCACTGATTCCGTGAATTCCAGCACCAGGTATCCGGTTACTCTGAAACCGCGTGATTGCGGCCGCGGGCCGGGGACCAGCGCTCCCAACGCGCCGCCGGCAGCCGGGCGACGCCGCGCCGCAGCTCCCTCCGTCCGTCCCTCCCTCCCTCCCTCCCGCCTCGCTCCTCCCCTGCCGGCCTCGCTCCTCCCCGGCGCGGGGCGGCGGTGCCCTGTCCCGGTATCCCCGCCCCGCCGGCCGCCGCCGCCATCGCCATGAAGTGCCACTACGAGGTGCTGGGCGTGAGGCGCGACGCCGCCGAGGAGGAGCTGAAGCGGGCGTACCGCCGGCTGGCTCTGCGCTGGCACCCGGGTACGGCCCGGGCCCGGCCCCGGCCCCGCGCGGCGCGGGGGCAGCGCTGTCGCCTGGCTCGGTGCCGGGGCCGGCGGGGGGGCTGCTGCCGCCGAGCCTGGCCGCCGCTGACACGGTTTCGTTAAATTGTCCCGCAGATAAAAACCTCGAGAACGCGGAGGAGGCAGCGGAGCAGTTCAAGTTGATCCAGGCGGCGTACGACGTGCTCAGCGACCCACAGGAACGGGCCTGGTGAGCGGCGCTTGGCCTGGCACAGGCTTTATTAGCCCCGGCCGTGCCAGGACTTGTCCCGCGCTGCTCCTGGGCCTCGCTGCGGGCAGGGCAGCCGTGGGCAGGGGCAGCCGTGGGCAGGGGCAGCCGACTGGTTTTGGGCTTTGCAAGAGTTAGAGCCGAGCAGGAGGGGCACGGCTCCGCACCCTCAGCTTCCTCGTGGTGTGCGGGGCCGAAGGCGTGCTGGGCCCCGAGCAGCGCCCTGCGAGCGGCCGGGCTTGGCCTGCTGCCTCCTCCCCGAGCGCCGGGCGGCTTTTCACGGCAGCTCTGGGCAGCCCTCAGGCCCTGGGCAGTGCGTGCAGGTGTTCAGTTCTAATTTGAAATATACACATACACATCTCTAAGGGATCGCTATTCCAAATGTTCTGTGTAGCTTGTTTTTCACGTGGGCTGAAGCATCTACCTGCTTACAGAGCCAAACCCACTTCTCCTGAGTTTGTCCTCCTTGAAAATACGGGACTGTATTCCAGTTTTTATGTGCTTATGTATGATTTGGGGGTTTTTTGAGTGCATGCAAGTATTGGGTGATTTAAATAATGTCCCTGCCCCTTTCTGGAAGTTTGGTGAGGCATCTTTCTCAAATGTGATTGATTGGTAGCTGGCTCTTGAGGAATTACTGCTATAGATATTGCAGATAAAATAGCTATAGTAAGTAAAATAAAGGTCGGGAGGGAATATCTATACTGGGTCTGTCATGTTTTTTCTCTTTGAAGTCTTTGGATATGAGAGATAAATTGTGGACAGTGGGTTAAGCTATACAGTGATGTGATAGGTGTACTGTGTTAGTTTATCAGCACTGAGGGGTGTTCTGTGTCTCTACATCCTTGATGCTGTGAATTTTTTCCAGGTATGATAATCACAGGGAGGCTCTGCTGAAAGGGGGAGTTGATGGAGACTATCAAGATGATAGCTTGGATCTGCTGCACTACTTCACTGTTAGCTGTTACTCTGGATATGGGGATGATGAAAAGGTAAGGAATCAATTAATCTTTAATCAGCTTAAGTTTCAATGTTAGCATTTGTTTTGTGCTAAAGTTATACGTAGAATTGTTAGCATAGCTTATGCAAATCCAAGACAAAACTTAACCTGGATGTTTAAGGAGGCTTTAATTCTTGCATATTGTCCAGCAATTAATTAATTAATCAAAATGTCCAACTATGCTGTACAACTGCAGATATGTGCATATTATTTTTTTATTTATATAGTGAAGCATTCCAGGCTTTTGCAATACCATGTGTTTATTTAGAAATACCTTTATCAAAGTATTTCATGCTGAAAACTACAGAAAAACAATGTAACAATAGCCTTTGGGGGAAGGTGTGCTTACTATAATTGAATTCCCTATTGGATTTTTGAATTTCCCATTGGATTTTAAGATACACATCCCATTTAATGTACTGAAAAGCTCCAGGTGATTAGAAAAACATCCACCAGAGAAAATACTTACCTGTCCTTCTGTTATTGTACTAGTAGTCAGTTAGTAACATATTAATTTAGAAAAATATAGGATATTTAATAGTGAATTTTATGTCTGGAACATCCACAAAACTTGATCCTGCATAATTAGAAACTTATCACTATTTGCAGCATATGGAAACTTTCTTTTAAAATTGGTGTTTAACTACGCGTGTGAGAGAGACAGAGACAGTGTGAGGAAGGTGGAAATAAAAGGCATGAGAGATAGTGGAACTTTGTTGAGAAGGGTCTTGTACCTCAAGCAGGTGCTTACAAGGCCTTTATCCTGGTTTTGAGTTGCTCTTGCAGTGCAGCATTGTTTCTCTAAAATACACTGCACCTGAGAATTTGTACGTCTGTTATTGAGCCACGCAAAAGGTTTATTTATTTATTTGTTTGCTTGTTTGTTTGTTTCAGGGATTCTTTACAGTCTATCGACAAGTTTTTGAGAAGATTGCAAAGGAAGAGTTGGAATATATGACACAGGAAGATATTGAAGAATTCCCTATGTTTGGATATTCCCATAGTGACTATGATACGGTAAGGGCAAGCGTAAAACTGAACTGCATTACTTTGTCTTGAAGGAGGGGTGCCTGCGGGTCTCTGAGGTGAATACCATGCATCTGTGGTTATTTTCTACTATTGTAGAGCATTACTGCAGAGGAAGTGTTTGTGGTCTGATTCATATTTATGTGAATTAAAATTGATGCTTCCTGTTGGACTGTAGTATTAGCCAGGCCTGCTGTGTGAGTTGTCAGACGATGCTTCACAGGGCCAACCATCAATTATGCCAATGGAACTTAAGTTTAGTGAAAGACCTATAAAGCAAAAGAATGGATGTTTTCTTTGCTTTCTGATGAGAGTAATTTACCAGTGCTTAACACAACTTATGTTACAGACAGGGCTACTGAGCTATTTTTTTTCCTGTAACGTGTAGTATCTTGCCTCATACAGGAAAACTGCACAGCACTTAGTGTGTAGCACAGCCTTTAGAAAGTAGATGTGATGTTGACTGGCAGTGTGAGCTGCCATTATGATTACATTGTCGTTTGCAATTAGCTTGTAGTCAGATTTTATTCAGAAAAAATTGCATGCTTTCCTCTGTGAAGAAAGAAAAGAAAGTGTATGGGTACTTGTATTACTTGAATTCTTGTCATCTGGTTTGCCAACTGTTTGTTATAATCTATCAGACTTAGGGTTTTTTTTAAGGTTACCAATAATTCTGTGTTGAAATTAAATAATGAGGTGATAACACTTTTGCTAGGGAATAACTGCACAATATGAAGTGCAATCAAATGTTGCTTCTAGTGTGGTACTTCTCCCTGTCACTTCCTCTGTATGGCTAATTATTTATGAAATTTGAATAGATTCATACTTTAAAAGTTAATAGATTCAGTGGTACAAAATTTGGCTGGAATTGGAAACAAAAGTTACAAATCAAACTTCTTAAGAAGTTTCAGAAAGGGTGTTTAGACGCGGGGAGAAGTTACAGGATGGCTTAACAAATGGAAATATTTCCCAGGGAGAATACATAGTATCTCTGGACCAGCTAAATTATGTCTTTTAATATGATTATCTTGAAACATCTTTAGAAAACTGCTTGTTTTGAGGCCATGGGACAGATACGACTATAGACTCAAAATAGCTTTAATGCTTATGTCAGTTAATAACTGCAAAAAGGACTGGAATTCTGATTCAACGTGCTTTGATGTCTGCCTAGCTCACACTCTTCTGACAGTGGAGTGCTCACTTTTTTCCCCCCTAGGGATTCATAGGGTATTTTATAGGAAATAGCTTTTGTTAAGTAGAAAGGTAATTTTCCCTGTTGTCTTATATTCAGACAAAGAGATTACACTGGCAGAGGATTCCAGCATTGCAGTGCTCACTTCTCTATGCAGTAGGAATATAATGGGAGAAGAGTTTTAGAAGAGAGCTACAAAAACTCTAAAAAGGCTTTAAAATCTGTGATGTGAATGCTCTCTGGTTTGGTCTACTTTATGAATTCACAAGAAGCATAAGAGGCAGCTTGATCAGAGCCAGGCAGCCAGGAAAGATATTCTTAAGGCTATGAGTTTACAGGCATTCATGGGAAGAGCAGACATGCTGGTCAAAAAAAGTGATCAGCTCCAGGTATGAGTAGGAGGCAAAACAAAATCCACCTGGGAGTTCAGCGAGCTGCTGGTGAGCACCAGACATGTGCAGGTTGTTAAGGTAGCTGCTGAGAATGGGGAGAGTCCCACCTTATACATCTAGTGAAGGGGAGGGTGATCCCTGTCAGGAGTTGATGGGTGTGCATCCTTTTGCACAGAAGTATCTTCTTCTGAATCAGAAATCTGAGGTAGGTGGTCTAATATTACTTAGGTTATTGGTTATTTTTTGTGATAGCAGAGAAAAAGTGTAGTGACTTACCTGCCAGAAGCCACAGCCATGAACTTCACACGTAGACAGGCCGCTGGAAGTTATTGTTGAGTTTTTCCTGTGAATAACAATTGATAGTTGTAGTTCCTGTGAATAAAAATGACAGAAGAAGAAGAGGACTCACTAGAAGAAAACATTAAACCATGAGGTTAAATGCTTCTATGAGGTATCCCAAAATATGAGCAGTTGGGCATATAGAAGTGAGTGGTAAAAAGGAAAATTGATGAGGCAAGTAGTGTAAGAAGGGACCTTAGGTATATCTTGATTGCTGAATATACAGAATGCAGAAGGACAATAATTATTTGGACAGAAATAAAGAACAAACACAAAGTCATTATGATGCCGTGTTGTTAGTCCAGCATTTACACACGAGTAGTAAAAGGGAGGAGAATAAGTAATGATCACTTTTTATTTTAATGTGAAAGCTAGGGGCATAATTTTGGCCTACAGTCATGTAGTTTGCTAACAAAACAGCAGTAAATATTTCTTCCCATAGTCATTTCTTAAACTGTGCAAGTCACAGCTCCTTGCTGTTGTATCATTGAGGGCTATTAATTTCTGTCTTAATCAGGAAGCAGAGAGAATATACAAGGAAGAAATAGCATTATGTATTTGTTTTTCTGCTTTTTTTATGCTGTGCAAATATGTGGCAGACTTCTGGTGTGGTTTAATGTGGAGTGTGTGTTTAGTGTTCGTAGGTAAGTACCAGCTTGCAGGCAGCATGTGTGATTCTGATTGTGCTTTTCAGTTTGACAGGAGAAATACAGCACAGCTAAGTAACTGGACACTAGGGTCAGCATGATCCAGTCCTGCAGGGGGATATTTTTAGAAGTTGCAGTTTGTACTAGTTTAGATCAGGTTGTTGAATTGATGTGCTTTGAAACTTCAAGGATGATGTTAGAAATTTCTGTAAATCTTCACTGCTCTGAGGCAAAACTGTGGCCTTTATAGAAGTTCAGAAAAAAACTGTTACAAAAGCTCTGAATTATTTCTCTGTTTTTTTCTGTCCTTTCTCAACAAGTGACTTCGTTTTGTTTTTTTCTTATAGGTAGTCCACCCTTTCTATGCATATTGGCAGAGTTTCTGTACTCAGAAAAACTTTGCTTGGAAAGAAGAGTATGACACACGACAAGCCTCAAACCGCTGGGAGAAACGAGCTATGGAAAAAGAGAATAAGAAAACAAGAGAGAAAGCAAGGAAAGAGAGGAATGAACTGATCCGTCAGCTAGTTGCCTTTATTCGTAAAAGGGATAAAAGAGTACAGGCCCACAGAAAACTTGTAGAAGAACAAAATGCAGAAAAAACTAGGAAAGCAGAGGAATTTCGGAGGCAACAGAAGCTAAAACAAGCCAAGTATGTACATGTGGAACAAATTTTTTTGTTAACTTGAGGAAATTATTCATGAGGATACAATTAGATTCTAATAGTAGCTCCGCTTGCTCTTTTAAACATCCTTTAAAATTTTAGGTACTAAGTTTGGTCTCAAGTCTAAGCTTTTTAAAACTCAGGTTTCTGCATTGTACTGACTTGTAGAGATCCAGGATAACTGGGGAATGGTTATCTGGGTGATTAACTGGCTGTAATAGTACAGAACCCAGTGTGCTTTTATTTAGCTGGGGAAATAAAATTTAATAGTTACCAATTTGCCTTTAAAGAAAAAAAATGTAAGTTGTAGAATAAGGGAGAACAACCTGGACTTAGATCACCTTTGTCTGCCTTTCTCCTCTTTCTTCTCAGCACCTGCTGAGAAGAAACAGGAGATAATGAGCTTAGCTTTGTCTTCCCTCTTAATTCTTTGGAAAGGACCCTTTCCTTGGAATAAATGCAGGGTCAAAGTTTGGCTTTCTTGCCAAAATAGGAAGAGGTGGTCTCCCGACTATAGCCACAATTTATTCAACTGGAACAACTGTTTGGCTGCACATATGAGGGAGGAACTTAAATTCTTATTAAGAGTGCACTTGCAAAATAATGACATATTGATTAAAATTATGTAATAACATAAATGGAGTATATTATGTACTGTTTTTCTGTATATACATATATACTTTAACCCTTTTGTGACAATAAAGTAGGGTTATGCATTTACTGACAAGTGGCTTGATATTCTGAGGTCAGAAGCCAGCTGGAGCAAAATTCAACTGTTCTGTGATGCCATATTTGGTAAACTGGGGCACACTTAAATTGGGAAAACTGAGACGGTACATTCCCGTAGCACACAGTCAAGGAGTAATGTGCTTGTGGATTTTGTTGTCCTGCATTTTTTGTGAGTTTGTGTGGCATTCACATTCTCTGAACAGAGAGACATAAGTCTATCGCTCAGATTCTTTTCCTAGAAAAACACAGGGAGAAGAAGAGAAAAACAATTCTTATCTCTACTTGCTGCTCCTGTTGTTTTGCACATGTAGAATGTGTTAAGAAGATTGTTTACCTGAAGTGATTTGTCAGTTGAATTCCACTGAAGATTGTTTTGTTTCCTTGGCCAATTGAAAAAAGCTGTGTTCTGACTGTTAGGAGACAGTCACGAGTTTTCTTTAGTATTCTTTGTAGTATAGTTACAGTATAATATAATGTAATATAATATAGTTTAATAAAGCAATTGTTCAGCCTTCTGAATCAATAAAGTCATATACCAATAATTCCCTTCATCAGGGGTGCCCTGTTTTACTATAAGTTTGGATCTTAGAGTAGGATGGAGATGACTTCCTTGCTGTCAGCTTCATACTTAACATGCTGCACAGCATGTTCTGCCTGAAATTCAACCAGGACCCACCTATGTTAATATCTCTGCTTGCAGTGCAGAGGTGCCCATTGACATCACAAATTAACTCAGATTGCTCAGATTTCCAATTGTTTGCGCCATTCTAATATGTTCAGGACTTTCCTCCTGAGATGCCCAAGAAGAACAGTTACCTTTAAGTAGAAGTTACTTTTCAGTAACATTGTTCTTGTAGTTCCCATCTGAGGGACACAGTGTAGAAGTTACTGTATTCTGCTTGCAGGCTTGCTGAGCAGTACAAAGAGCAGAGCTGGATAACTATGTCAGATCTGGAGAGAGAGCTGCAAGAGATGGAGGCACAATATGAAAAGGAATTTGGAGATGGATCAGGTGGTGAAGATGAATTAGAAGAACAGGAGACAAAAAGCATTGAAGGTATGGTGTGTGTGGAGGTGATATATACTGGGTCACTGCAGTATGAGTGTGGCTCACTTACAGCCTCAGATTCACAGTTCTGACTGTAATGCAGCTCCCTCCCTCCCTCTGAGGATGCTGTGCTAGAGTCTGTCCCTCTCTGGTGTTTTCCTTTGAACAAGCTTCAGCTGTTAATTTGTACCAATGTCTGATTTGGTGAGGTGATCTTGAGCTGTTTGTGTGTCAGTAGTACTGGAGAAATTGAATGTCAGTGCTGTGACTATTTTCTGGGTCTTAAAGAGCATCTTGTTCAGAAATTGCTCATCTGACTTTGTCTCTCTGATCCCTGTTGATCTCTTCAGACAAACTGAATGATGAAATTGAAGAAGCTGAATTTGTTGATGGTCTGTACTGCCCTGCTTGTGACAAATTCTTAAAAACTGAGAAAGCGTAAGTATTTGTGGTTGGGGATTGGGGGTGTAGGTGTTGGTTTTAAGTAATTTAAAACTGCATTTTAGAGAATATTTAACTTTACATAGTGATGAGTGTTGTCTTTCCAATAAAGACATTGTCAGTGCAGAATTTTCCGTACTTAGTAGTGCTGGATAATAGACCTGTTGTTAATTCATATGTAAATATAACTGTGTTTGCTCAGAGCAACCTGCAGTAACAATCTGGTCTTCACAGCATGAAGAATCACGAAAAATCAAAGAAGCATCGAGAGATGGTATCACTGTTACGACAGCAATTGGAAGAGGAGGAAGGGAAATTTCCTGTGTCTTCGGATGATGCAGATGGAATACAGACCAAAGAGGAGGAAGAAGCAGAAGACATACCCAAACAGAAGTACTTCAAATTGTTTTTCATTTTATCATGACTCATGAATTACTAAGTCTTAGTGGCCTTCAGAGGGAGCTCCTGATGATTTGCCACTGCATTGCTCTCAGTATTGTGCAATTTGAAATACTTCTTAGCATCAGAGTTCCAGTAAAACACATGCCTTTGCGTGACTACATTCAAGTGCCATAAAACAACAGACTGATATTTTCTCTGCTGCCTGAAGTTATATGTTAAGGAAAAGAAGGGTTTGTTATTTTTCAAGCAGAGGGACTTCCACAGAGCTAGTGCTTATTGATTTGGTACTTACTGTCAATTGATTGCTGGCATAAATAGAAAATGAGTGTGTTCAAAATCAGAATTGTTACACAACTTAATTTTTTAAACAGCCAGAGCATAATCCCAACTACATCACTAGTATATTTGGGTTCAGTCTGAGCAGAACAAATGTTTTACTAAATGCAGTGAGTAGTTTGGGAGATCTGTTTTATTTCTGGCATGAGCAACTTTCTTTTGTGGCTACCTAATACTGTGTTAAGAGGATAAGGAAAAGTATAGCTTGATAATATTTTTAGAAATACTACTAGGTTTTGGGAGTTTTCTGTAAAAAAAGGTAATTTTAAAATTATTTTTACAGACTCTCAAAGAAACAAAGGAGGAAGCAGAAAACAATGAAGGTAGGTAATCATAATCCTGCTCTGGGAACTTTACAACCCAGTTTTCTTAAGTAGCCAAAAACTGGCATGTAGTTTCTGACAAATTATTTCTCTGTCCTGCAAAATAGGAGAACTTGAAATTCCACAGAATTTGAAAACTATTTTAAAATATTTTTAATATTTTTTGCCACCAGCATAACTTGAGTGATAGGCCTCACTTTGTTCTGTTAGTGCAGATGTTAGTATGTGGTGGTGACTCTGAAAAGGCTGTAGTCTGAAGTATAAGAAAAACAGATGGAAATGGGCAGATAGGGAGAATGCAAGGAATTGATCAGTAAGACCAGTAGTGTCCTTGGTGCATTAAGAGCTCAGTTTGGTGGTCACTTCTGGCTTTAGTTGTAGGACTTTGTATAATGCATTGGTTTTTAATCTCTTAATTTAGAGAGGGTCAAAAATACTGCCACAGTATTGGTTTCCTGCTGGCACTCTAGCTGTTGGAATGAACACATCAATTCCACCTTTCTCTTGAACTGCAAACAAAAGTAACACTAATCTGTTGTACTCCAGGATCTGAGTCTGTGTGTGATATCACAGATCTGAGCTGACATCAGCAGGTGAAATTCACCAAGAGGAAGCTGTTTCAGGCTTGAGTGGCAGGGGTGTCATAGTCAGCATGCTCCTCTGTCTGCCTTCCTCAAACTCCATCCTTTTCAAGTACTAACTCCTCAGGCCTAGCCTTGTTCCAGTGCACTGTCTGTACCAGGTCATGCCTCTTCCATGCTTTCCCCTCTAATTTCCTATTCTTTGTTCACCTTTTCTGCCCTCTCCCACTCCATCATTATGTCTTGTTCTTAAGAAACTCTTCTGACTCTTTCAAGGAGCTGAAGCTTCCTGGCTCCACATTGGCTGGTCCAGTTGCATAGTCCGAGTATTGGCTGGACCTTTATGTTTCTGTGCAGGCCATGAGGCTTCAGTTAACTCTTTCCTCCTCTGTTTGAGACCAGAAGGCCTGATCTCACTGCAGAGGTGGCACATAGTCACCATGGCTCTGTTCCATCAGTTTGCTACAGCCTGGACAGTAGGTGCCACTCTTGCATTGCTTGAGCTACAGTCTTGTGCTGGGAAATCCTCACCTTCATCATTTGCCAAGCATTGTGGAGTACTGGGAATCTCTGTGGGTTTTATCTTCATTTCATGAAGTTAGAATTAGCCAAGTTTTTTTTTCAGGTAGCTCAGACTGTGCACTTTGCAAAGTTATAAGCCAAGCCACTACCTGTGAAATAAGAAATGGTAGTCAGAACAGGATGAACCCTGTGTGCAATTGAAAGCTACCTTCATTCTCCTCTTCTGTAGTTTCAGAGGCTGTTTTATTGGTGTTTCTTCCCTTCACCACAGGTGGCCTCATCTTTCAAAACAGGAGAACTAAGGTTTTACATGTTACAGTCTCACTGAAAACACACAGTAAAATTAAGAGGGTCCATGGCTTTCTCTCCTCCCAACCCACCCATGTTTGAGGTAAATGAGTATGATACTATAAACATAGTCACTAACGAACTGAAAGTATTGAACTTTGATTTTTTTTGTTTGGACAGAGTTATGAGGACTCTTTTGATCAAAGTGCTGATGAAGAAACAGTTGAACAGAAGGAAGTGCCCAGCACGGAGAAGGAAGTGCCCAGCACGGAGAAGGACAGTGGCTCAACAGAGGAGTTAAATGATGGCCAAAGATGTGCTGTGTCGGAGGACACGGGCATTACGGATGATGTCAGCCAAGAGAATGAAACAAAAAGTGAAGCAAAAAGGTGTGTTGGGTTGCAACATCGCAGTCGCTGTGTCATTCTGTGTCATGTTTGATACTGTCAGACAAGGATAGATTTACTCTCAAATGTGGACTCTGGGGGCTGCTCACCAAAACTGGTTTGAATAAGTATGATACTAAACAAAGTGTGTAGGGACTTCTCTGGAAGTGGTATTTGACTGCAGATTGCTGCCATATCACTTCTCAGGAACTGATTCAACATTCTGAGATTAACAATTGACTGTATAAATTATTTTTTTTTCTGGAGACACATTTTGTTGTATAAAGCAAGAACAGGGGAAAGCAGCAGAGACATTGAAAACTGAAAAACATCAGAAGCTTGCAAATGCTAAATGTTCCTGTGCACTGATTTTGGTTCCTCTTTGTCTGTTAGCAGCACTAAGCCTAAAGGCAAAAAGGCCAAGGAAGCAAAAAAGTCTGCCAAGGTGTCTTCAGAGAGCTCAACAGTGGTATGTCAAATTACTTATGCTATTTAAAATAGAATCATAGGTTGGAAGGGACCTTAAAGTGTAGTTTGTAGACCACATTGCTGAAAGCCCCATCCAGCCTGGCCTTGGGCACTTCCCAGGGATGCAGCATCCACAATTTCTCTATGCCAATGCCTTATCACACTTAAAGTTCAGAATTTCTTCGTAACGTGTAATCTAGATCTGCCCTCTGTCAGTTTAAGACCATTGCCTGTTGTCCTGTCACTCTGCCTATATAAGAAGTCACTCTCCCTCCTTTATGTTAACCCCTTTAAGGCATGGGAAGGCTGCATTGAGTTCTCCCTGGAGCCTTCTCTTCATCTTTCTCAGCCTGTCTTTACAGGAGAGCTAAAAGAGGGGGGTCACATAACTACAAAGAAGGCTGTTTTTTGGTCACCTCCAATCCACCAATTCTGCCCCTGCAATTTTGATTTCAAGAACTGAAACTTCAGCTCTTGTCCTCACAGAGAAATGCAGGACGCAGCTTCATTTCTAGGAGAGTTGGTGAAGTTCTATGTGCAAGGCAGTTCAAATAAATTAAACAGCTGGGGACAGAGGTGTTGTCACCCAGCAGGTGACAGACATCTTTCTCAATATTGATGTTTGCACCTTTCTCAATATTGATGCTTGCCAGAGAGCAAAACTCTGTAGTAACTACAGCTAAGACTTATTAAATTCACTGCATCTCTGAGCCCAAAGCATTACCTGTATGGTCAGGTGAGATAAAAACTATCCTTTACTTTGAATTAGATTTGCAAGGCTTCCATTCTTGATTTTACTTAAAGCCCTTTGAAATATCATGAAGTGATATTTGCAAGTATTTTTTTAAAAATAAGTGTTTAATTGTTAATGACTAATGAAATATTGATGATAGAAACAAACAGCTTATGCCTGCTTCATTGCCAAGGAGAAACTGTGTGCAAGAAATTGGTATATTGCACTGATGACATACTCAATACGAATGTGAAGCATTCTGGTTTGTATTTATTTTTTTTTTCCTTATTGTAGAGTGAAGTTCCTATCCACTGTGTAACCTGCAACTGTGCATTTCCATCCCGGAATAAATTGTTTGAACACCTGAAAGTCACAGGACATGCAAGAGCAACCACAGCACTGACTGTAAATGGAGCTGTGAACACCAAAAACAAAAAAGAGAAACGTAAAAACAGATAGAACTTTGCTATAGGGACAGTCATCAGAATTGTACATTAACACTCTCACAGAACTGAAACATGCACACTGCCTGTGTCTGGAGTTAAACAAAGAAGGCAAGTACCAATGTAGGAAAAAAATGAAGATGCACAAAAGGAGTACTATCTTGTGGAAGACTCTGTGCTTTCTTCTGTTCTTAAAAGCCTTCCTTTAGTCATAGAATGGTTTGGTGTCATGGCACAGGTGTGTGTTCCTTCCACCAAGCCACCTTGTCTAAAGCGCTGTACCCCGAGCACCTTTCACACCATAGATGGGGAAATAGTAACTCAAAGCTGTTCACCCTGTGTTTCTGTAGAACCTGCATGGATTATTTCCACACAGAGGAAATAATAAATTATTTTGACATGTGTGCTGTTGATTTTCTTTTGAGAAAAGCTCAGGTGAGTAGCCAGTAGCAGGGCATGTGCTGTGTTGGTGAGAAATGGTGCTAAGAACACCCAGGTCATGGAAGAGCTGGGCTTGATGATCCTTGTGGGTCCCTTCCAACTCAGAATATTCTTTGATTCTTGATCCTCTATCAAATATGAAGCACTGCCAAAATATGGGCTTTTCTTCTGCCATTCTGAAATTACTTATTTACATTGAGCAGCAGACAGAAGGGAAGAAGCTAGATGACAAAGCTGTTTAACCAGTTCTGACAATTCCTGTTTGTTTTGTACATCCATGGCAGGTGTTGGGGAAAAACAGTCTAGTGGAACAGCCTTGCTGGAATAAGTGAAGGAGAAATTGAGTGACACGAATGAATAATTTGTTCTGATTTCTAAGGAAAGACACTGCTTTTGTTTAAATGCATAATCTGCCCAATCTTCAGTAGGAAAAAAAAAAGGTGGGATAACAAACACCTGATTTTGGAGTGGAATTGCTTTGTACGCAGGAGTTATGAATGGAGGTGGGTAAGACAGTGCTCAGCAAAGGCTGTACAATATTGTTTAGAACCATGAAGTAAGATTTGGAGAGGTGCTGATGCTCTGCTACCAAAGTTTCTCTGAAGTACTGGCAGAATACTCTCCTCCCCCAACCTGACATGGTACTTTACTGGGTCAAGGAATTTTTCCAATATTAAAATTGAAATAAGATTAAAATGATAAATGTACAGTTCTTGCTGACTGTCCACAACATCTGCTTTTTATTGGGCCAAGGAATTTTTCCAGTATTAAAATTGAAATAAAATTAAAATGATAAATGTACAGTTCTTGCTGACTGTCCACAACATCTGCTTTTTTATTGGAAACTGAAGGAAGCAATGCCCTTACACATTAAAAAGTGATTATGTAAGAATATTTTATTCTACCTTTCAGAGTTTGCACCTTTACAAAATCATTAATGGGTGTGCTGTGCAATCCCAAAAGCAACAGGAGGAAAAGAGAAGTGTATTTTGGAGAGAGATGACTGGATTTCTTATCCCCATGATAAAAATAATTACTGTAATTGGAAACATCTCAACTGTGCAAACTTTTTGTAATGCTCTAATTACAGTGTATCCTCATAGGCAGGGTAAACAGTTTTAACTCTGAAATTTCTTTCCCAACTCTTTCTGTCACTCTTTCTAAAAATTACTGATTTTGATAGGATTTTCACAGAGAAAAGAACATATGCCTGCCTCTCCATTTGATACCCTGTTAATCCAGTCAGGGTTTTCTTGATAATGGCAAAATAGGTGTGCAGCTCATACAAATCAGCACTGTAGAACCGAACTGCAGATTTAAAACAGATTGCACCATATCCTTTGTTGAACACTGGATCTGTCAGACTGCTCTTACAAGATGTAATTGTCCCACTGTGATTTTATTTTCTAGGGTAGATTAGTGCCCAGTCTGGGTCACAAGGGATTGTGTGTGCCTCTCGTGTAAGGAAACAAATCAATTCTGTTTTGCAGCTGCTCTTTCCACGTGTCTCTGTAAAGCAGTATGAAATACTTCCACAGCAAAGTCAACGTCCCTCTTAGTAATGCACATAGGAGGCTTAATTCTGAATGTCTGAGGAGAGAGAACAAAAAGAAAAAGGAATGTTCAAATTGTATGGAAAGAATATGGTTTCAAGCAGCCTATCTGGGTCAGCATTCCCGCCCCAAAAAAGTGAGGAAAAAAGGAGAACAGCAGTGCAGGCGCTGAGGCTTATGATAAATGTACTCTGAAGTGGAGCAATTTTGAACTTGACTGCTCTGAATTGCATCTGACTCATGACCCCCTCTTGATAACCTAACTGCCTCCACAAAAGACCTAAGTAGAGTAGGTCGTGTCTGCAGGTCTGTTTCAGCAGACAGAGACAGAGTAAAATCTCAGATGGATCTGTACAAAGAAAGAATGGAGACAGACGTATTTTCTTTCCTTGCAGCTCCACCACAGGGAAAAGTAGTATCTGCTCAGAGTGGCAGGCTCTTGCATTGTGTCAGCCGATTTGCTGCTTTATTATAGGCTGTTTTAAAAGGCTTTTAAGAGAATGCATTATGAATGAATCACTAAATACTGTATTGTAGTTAGGGTGCCATAGCTGGAAAGGATGTTGATCAGGAAGGGTTGTATGTACAGCTACACTTGTCAAGAACATAGTCTCTGAAATCTGAATGTTCGATCCATGTATCCAAGAGTGTTTATTTTCCATAAGAATCTTAAATTTCAGATTTTTCTGGCATCACATCACGGGACTTAATAAAGGAAAAGCAGAGTAATGGGCTTTCCCACCCACAGCCCCTGCTGAAGCAAACACTCACAGGTAAACAGCCCTCTTATCAGACAGAATGAGATTCTACTGCACTGAACTTCAGCTCATTACCTGCCTCCTGGTCTATGACTTAGGGAAGCACTGATGAGGTGACAGACAGTATCTGATTTATTTTAGCTACCCTCCATCCATCTCACATGGAAGCTGCCTCCTTTGTGTCAGAGGGCTTTGAGTGGGCCAGCCCTGAGGCAATTCTCTGCCATTAACTGAGTGCTGCAGGGAGCTGGAGCAGTGTCCTGGCTACAGCGTGGAGTACATTGCCAGCTGGTGTGGGCTCATGGCCTTCACATCCAAGTCTCTCTTCTGTGCTGTTGCTGAACTTGCTGTCAACACCATTTTTTTTTCCTTTAATTACTGTAGAATTAGAACATTACCAGCTCCCCAGACTCCAAGAACTACCACTTTTGTACTGATATGTCAGGTGATAACATAAACTGTGCAAAGACTTGGTCCTGAGTTCTAAATTGCATAGACTGTAGTACCTTGGTTTTTTAGGGGAAGTTGTCCCTCTGAAGGAAAACTCCAAGGTCTGAGCTTGTTCAGAATATTTGAAAAGAATAATATTTCTATTCCTTCCCAGTTTTAACATAAGGAACATTAAACATTTATTTACTAAACTAAATTAACTTAACTTGAGGAAAGCAAGGATAGAAAATAAGCTTTATTTATAACCAGAGGTTCAGTACCTGACTGTAGAGCCCTCCTCTGCCGATCAGAACCCCCATGTCTTTACAGTCCTCCCAGATCTGATTGATTTCTTCAGCTGGAAGAGGGTGTCGGCTGTCCTAAGGAAAGGAAATACTAAACTTCACTCAGATATTCTAAATGACAAAGATGTATATTCCAGTCTGCAATAAATCCCAACTCTAGCTGCAAATGTTTCCTGCATAACTTACCTGCTCTCATGAGCCTGTGCAGTTAAGGGCATGTCACTGTTTACTCAGAGCTTGTGAAACAGCTGAATGATGGAATGTTCTGGCTCATTTTTAGCCAGAGCAGTGTTTTCCCACTGCACTCTCTGCCTTTTGACAGGAAATATTTCTATTATTTCAACTAAAATAAAGTGTGATAAAACCTTCAATGGCACTGTAAATTGAAAGGAATGAAGTCACTAACCTTATCTGTCACCATTTCTACTCCAATCATAAGTCCCTTGCCACGGACATCTCCAACAATGTCAAATTTATCCCGTAGTTTAGCCAACTCCAGCAGCATGTATGTCCCCACATCCTCACTATTTTTTTGTAGACCATCTTCTTCAATAGCCTGGTTAAAATGAAGTACCATGACAGTGTTGTAGGAAAAGCTTTCAACTCATTCTGTTAATCCCCATTGAACTTGACACTTTTTTTATCTCACTTCCTTGTTCTGTTCCTTGACTACCTCACTGCTCACATTCTCCTCTTAAAATCCTCTTAACAACATCAGAATACAATTGTACATAATACCTTGATATTTCTGTGGCACTTTTCACATTTTTCTTAATACTTAAATTTAATCCAGAAATTCCTGCTCACATGTACTTGTAACTGGAAAATACCTGACCAGAAGGATTATTTTCAAAATCTTACAGGAATATTTTTTTCAGTATCATGAGAAGAATACAATTTGACTAGGCTTCTCTAGGCAGGGAACAGCTTGAATATTATATTTAGCAACAACATGTTTTTTAATAACAATCTTTTCTTCATTCTTTGCACTGTCTTCCTTAATCACAGTTCTTATTTGCAGGCACGTACCGGCACTTACACATAAATCATTAGATGAACTTAACATCTACATTTAGAAAAATTACATTTAAAAATTACAGAAGATAAAGTAGCTCTTTCTATTTTTTTTCTTCTTTTTCTTTTAACTATATTTTATTATTTTTGACTCTAAAAATTTCCTTGGAATTATTTCAGAGCCAGGCTCCAAGTTATTTCAGAGTCAAAGAACCCCAAAACATGGGTTCTTATACAATCATCCATCTTATTAATAGCTTAAACCCCCCCAAACCACTCAGGAAAATAACATTAATAGAATCAGTGTCTGCTGTAATGAAGTGAGCTTCAGGAATGAATGTTCTGTGCATAATCAAGACAAATTGATTTGTACTAGTGACCTACTACCCACTGACTGATTTTCTACTGGATAATAAGTGAAATATGTTGCACATTTTTCTATTTCCTTTTTCATTAGGTAATTTTTTTTCCAGAAGAATTTATTACTTTAGGTATTTGTAACTGTCTGGTCATTAAGGGTTTTTTTTTAAGCATACGGTAAAAGCATAAAGTAAGCACAAAGCATAAAGCCTTATGCATAAAGCATAAAGTAAAATTTTGCTAAGCATGTATGCCAGAAAATCAATTTTCTCAGCTGTGGATTTGTGTAGTGCTATGAAAGAATTAGCTAAGGCTTTTGAGAAGTACTCTCCTACAATTTTATTAACAAAGTAGAGAACCCAAGGGAGATAAAGATGATAAAGATAATTCTGCCCATAATTATAGGGCTCCTACTCCTTCTAGAGATCTGAAAAATTTTGCAATTAAATTCATCAGGACTTTTTACTGTATATGGGACACACTGGCCATGCACGTATACATGCATATGTTTATGCACTTCACTTAGTTATTTTAAAAAGTGCCC